ATTATAATAATTTTAATTTTATATTATAACAATTTTAATTATATTATAATTTGTAAGGGCATTATAAAAATTTCTTAAAACTGTTTTAAATCTTTGAATATGATATAAATAAATAAATTTGAATATAATATAAATCTTTGAATAAAATCCTCTTAATAGAAAGAAAAACTCCGAAAAAACTCGAATAATGGAGAAATGTTTTCGATGATTGTAAATTTAAATTATTGGAACTGAAAGATGATTAAAAATCTTTTTCTCTAAAAATCATTTGAAGAAGAATCGTTAAAAAGAGATCAATATCGCAAGAGTTCTTGAAAAAAGCCCACCTTACGTATCTAAGGATTTAATATCCTTTTATTACTTATCTAGATCCAAAAAATAAATGCGATCACGAATATGTATGATTGTATGTTGCAGACGGGAAGGAATGCGACGCTCTGGTGTGCTACCACGAGAAGGACTCGAGCCTGGTAATCGGTATCGTGATACCCACCCTGGAGTCTAGGCATCGATACAAGTGCACGGCGCTGGAGCTGTCACACCAGAATCACAATTGTGAGTTAAACCTCCCTTAGCTAATTAGCGACGAACAAACCCCTTATTCTCTTCTCGAATAATTACATAGTCGCGGTAGCAGACAGAATATCAGAGAATTGTCAGATATTTCGAGAAGGAGGCTACGGGCTTTCTTAAAAATAAACTTCCTTCGATCTTCTCTTCATCGACATCCTCAACGCTTTCGAAAAAAAAAAAAAATTTATTTATTTTATTTATTTATTTTTTCGCAAATTTTTCGAAATTCGAACTCAAAGGCACCGAAACGTCGGATATATTCCGTCTGCGACACCCGTTATGTACGATTCGGCGGGAGATTCTTATCGCGTTACATAAGAAACGAGACTCTTCTCCTTTAATAAAAACAAAGAAAGGACGGAGAGTGAAGAGGAAAAAAGGAGAAGCTACTCGCGCTCGATAGACTCCCTATGGAGTTTATTTTGCGGTGCGTCCCCCGCGGCGATGCGGCAAGTATATAAGCGCCCCGCAAAGGGTTGCGGAGTACGGGGGACGGGGGGGGGGAAGTAAATATTCAGTAGCAGGGCGAATGTGGGCCACGAATTGCTGCTATGGTCCGTTCGGCGATGACGACAACGACGACATGGATCGATAAACAATTTTACGGGGTGCAGCTTATGAATTAGGGCTGAATAAAGGCCACCACTCTCTCTCTCTCTCTCTCTCAGTTTGTGGTGTGATAGCGCGGAATTGGATTAGCTTTGTGGCGAATACACGTGGAGATCGATCGCGGTTTTGAGATAAACTAGGAATTAGAGGCGCGTAATAAGGACGGTGGCGCCTCCCCGGATGGTTTAATTGAGATCGCGGATGTAAATTAGATCGAAGCTCGAATGTGATATGCGAGGCGATGCGCGCGAGAGATGAGGATTGAATCCGTTATTTATGGAATCGAATTAAAGCTATAGAAGACCATATCGAATCGAGATTATACAAAATGCAGATAGTTTAAGTAAAAATGTAAAATTAAAAATGCAATATCTTGTTATTTCAATCCAGGTCAAGTCAAATTCAGAAATGAATCTAAAAAGATTGAAGTAATTATTCTAATATAGATATAATATTATCCTAATATTCTAATATATATAATATAATAATTAAAATAATTAAATTAATTGTTCTAATATAAATTTAGAAATTATTCTAACTAAAATTTTCGAAAATACATCACACAAATATGTTATTTTAATATATATTAAATCGACATATATATTAAAAATAAATTCCAGTATAAACCTGGAGTCTACTTTTCTCAAATTTCTGAAATTAATGGGAAACGTGAAGATACGTGATTACGTATATATCTTAAAAATTATAAAAGCTCTTTCATTTGGATCGAATTTTGCATAGAAATCACAGGAAACTAGTCATTGAACAAAATATATCGGACTGGTCTTTCTCTCTATCTCTCTCTCTCTCTCTTATCTTTTTGTTCCATCGCTCTCTACCAATCCAATTGCAGCACCGAAACTGCCGCAATGTGGCTAACAATGTAGGACAATTCTTTTTTTTTTTTATTTCTTTTTCGCTACTCACACGCGATGGTCGGGCGTCCATTTCACGGAGGTAGGCATTTGTCGGGGTAATTTATTTCACATCACAAAGAAGATTTGCACAACCGGGCGGGTGTCACGGAAGGAACCGCCGGTCGTCGTGGGATCCATGACGGGAGACACGCGGGGTTGGTCTTTGGCGGGCCGCGATATAACCGGAAGTAATGGGGGATCCTTCAGCGGGAATCGTGGGAATCACGGCGACTTGGCAACTTGGCAAATTGAATTAGAAAGTTCGCCGTTCTCTCGGCCGTGGAGTGTCTCGTTTGTCTCCGGCGGCACAACCGCGGTATCGAATTAGGTGCACGGAGACCCCAATATGTACTACCGCGCCATTTTCGGACCGAGAAGCTACCTTGAGATAGGCGAGGGTGTGGTGGACCCACGTAAACAGGAAGGACATAGGAACGGTTACGAAAATAATACCCTGGTAAGAAAATTTTACACACATACACTGCAAAAAATTTTTTAAAAATTCAGATACATATATTTTTGTCTAAATTTTCAGATCTGGGTATCTGAAAGAAATTTTAGACAATCTGTTTTAATTATCAGAGTCGTTTTTCTAGAAGTTCAGAAGAATGTGTCTGAAAATTGAAGTATGTCTGAAAATTCAGACAATGTATTTGCAAAAAAGCTGCAGGTACTTTGTCTGAAGTTTCAGTCAATTTTTTTACAGTGTATATATAATTGGTGAATAATAAAATAAACTGCGACAATTGTGGGCAGCTGCTCTGATAGTAAGGATTGGGAAATATAGAGTGTTTTTAATTGTGTAAAAGATCAATCTAGAGAGAGAGAGAGAGAAAGAGGGAAAATGCTACATTAACAAAAAACGCTAATGATTTAGACGATAATTATTATTTATTATACATGGATCTGTTTATTATTAAAAATATAAAAAGATATTTAGACGTAATAGATAACCGATTTTAAATAAAATATAGATTTATAATATTTTAGATAAATATTTTAGATAAAAAATAAATTATATATTTTATATAAATATTTTAGATAAAAAATAAATTATATAAAATAGCAAAAAAAAGAAAAACCGAACAGAAGAAATGAAAATTTTAAACTTTGTCTGTATTTCGCTCCTACTAGTAGCAAAATTGACAATAATAAAAATAATATGTATAATAATAATTTAAATAAATATTATTGATAAGAGATATGAAAAAATGTGGAAGTAATCTTGGATATTAAATATTCAGAAGCTGAAGAATATTGATCTGAGATGGATTTTATTAATTTTGAGGAGATTTGTATCGATAAAATAAAAGCAACACGAATAATGCAAAATAAAATAATAACCAGCCATTAGGAAAGAAAAAGAAAAGTTCAAAATAAATATTAAAAAATGTTAATTGTTATTTATTATATATCGAACAAATCTTGCCTTATTATCTTAAAAATGATTAGGCCCAAATACAAACAAAGTATTCTCTTTAATTGCTCGGCTTATTATTTCCTCCTAAATCGATCACTCGAAATGTATAAGATGCATTATGCGCGCTTCGTACATTTGTCAGATTCCGAGCATTTTGCTCCCAGACACATTAACATTATCGAGCTAATTAGCCGACCGACTCCGGCACGATATCTTACTATCCTAAGCCGATTGCTGAGCGAAATGGAGCGTATTTTATCCGTCTTCCGCTAAAGTGCACGGGCATTATGTAGCGTGTGTATTCGAATCAACTCGTATCTTTGATCACGCGTACACTACCTTTGGCACACCGTGTACTCCGTCGAGTAATTATACTATATATTCCGATTACGCGGCTTATGAGACTCCGCATCCGGTCTGCGCGTGATGGCCGCAGAAGTTGCTCCGGGGGAGGCTGGCGCGAGCGAAAGGAACTCGAGATTTAACGGAACTATGAACTTCGCAGCGGCAACGGGCTGCGGTTATTTGATAGTCAATGTGAACAAAGTTCGCTGTCAAAGCGATGCCGACGATCTCGCGTATCCGCAGGAGAGTTGTGAATTTTCTCCCGATTAAGGCAGAAAGTTACCCGCGAATGACGAGCCAATTGATTTTGACACAATTCATTAATCCCGACACTTAACGGGAGATCACTGTTGATCCGACAATTCAAACTTTTTTAAAATTTGGAATATGTTAGTAATATATATAAATTATAAATATATTAAATTATATATATTTATTTATAAACATATTAAACTATATATATTTAATTATAAATATATGTTTGATATCAAGTCTGCAATAATTTTTTGGTAAGACGCGTTAATTAAATAGAATTTCTATCAAATTATACACATATATTTTTAAGATGGTTAATCAGCTTCTCGGTCTAATTAAAATCATAATTTGCGAATTATTTTGTTGGCATCAATAAAAGATTGCAAATAATTTTATAAAGTCAGAATCATGCTTTAATAATTTTAACAAGGAGTTATTGAAAAGTAAATATCTTTCAGTTTTTCATCTTTAGTTCTAAAACTCAGCTGATTTCAACAAGAACAGAAATTCAAGATGTTTTTCTGTGAAAAAGAGAATTATTGTAGTTATCTTAACGAGAGTTGTAAATTTTCTTCCAAGGCGGAAAATTATCCGCGAATGGCGATGACGGGCCAATCGATTTTGACACAATTTATTAATTCCGATACTTAATGAGAGATCACTGTTGACCCGGAAATTTGAACTTTTATGAAATTCGGAATATGTTAGTAATATATACAAATGTTTAATATCGTTCAATCCTCGAATAACTTTTTGGTAAAATGCGTTAATTGAATGGAATTTCTATCAAATTATACACATATATTTTTAAGATAGTTAATCAGCTTCTCGGTCTAATTAAAATCATAATTTGCAAATTATTTTGTTGGCATCAATAAAAGATTGCAAATAATTTTATAAAGTCAGAATCATGCTTTAATAATTTTAACAAGGAGTTATTGAAAAGTAAATATCTTTCAGTTTTTCATCTTTAGTTCTAAAACTCAGCTGATTTCAACAAGAACAGAAATTCAAGATGTTTTTCTGTGAAAGAGAGAATTATTGTAGTTATCTTAACGAGAGTTGTAAATTTTCTTCCAAGGCGGAAAATTATCCGCGAATGGCGATGACGGGCCAATCGATTTTGACACAATTTATTAATTCCGATACTTAATGAGAGATCACTGTTGACCCGGAAATTTGAACTTTTATGAAATTCGGAATATGTTAGTAATATATACAAATGTTTAATATCGTTCAATCCTCGAATAACTTTTTGGTAAAATGCGTTAATTGAATGGAATTTCTATCAAATTATACACATATATTTTTAAGATAGTTAATCAGCTTCTCGGTCTAATTAAAATCATAATTTGCGAATTATTTTGTTCGGAAATAATTTTATAAAATCAGAATCATGCTTTAATAGTTTTAGCAAGGAGTTATTGAAAAGTAAA